GATAACAGAACTTCAGCCACTTAGAAAGAGTGTGTGAAGCAGATAGGTAGGCGGAGGAAAGCTACGCGCATTCGCGCGTTAATGAGTGCTGAGAGACCCGTAATGGCACTAAACCTGATTGGTAGGCGGTGAATGAGCTTGGGGTTGACTCTTCAATGTTCACATCGCATCGCCGCGGGGACTACGTCTCGCATCGCATCATAGACAACCGAAAAGCGTCAGTCCGGCGTTATATATTTTTTCTCTTGCTTGTTTACGTTTGTCCTTTTATATTCTTCTTTGGACACCACTTCGTTGACGCAGTACCTCATCCAAGATCTGTTCATTGGATGATTTCACCTTTCGTCGCAAGTAACTCTACTTCAGTCCTTTCCAAGAACCCCTCATACGATCTTTAAACTATTACGATACATCACCTGCCGATTTCTTTATTGGCGACCTTCGCTTCAATCGGACCCAATCTTCACCATGGGTGTCCCGAAATTCTTCCGTTGGCTGAGTGAGCGGTATCCGTCAATCTCGATGCTGATCGCAGAGAGCCGGATACCCGAATTCGATAGCCTATACCTCGACATGAACGGTATTATTCACAACTGTACACATAGTGACAGCGACTCCCCGACGTTTCGCATGACGGAGGATCAAATGTTCATTGCCATCTTCAATTACATTGAACATCTATTTGGCAAAATCAAGCCCAAGAAACTGTTCTACATGGCGGTAGACGGTGTTGCGCCTCGCGCTAAGATGAATCAACAACGTGCGCGTCGATTCCGGACGGCCCTGGATGCAGAGAATGCGAAGGAGAAGGCTATCCAGCAGGGCCTGGAGATGCCAAAGGAAGATGCCTTTGACAGCAACTGCATCACCCCGGGTACCGAGTTCATGCAGAAATTGACGAAACAACTCAAATACTTCATCAACAAGAAAATCTCGGAGGACACAGATTGGCAAGGTGTGGAAATTGTGCTTTCTGGCCATGAGGTTCCCGGAGAAGGCGAGCACAAGATTATGGAATACATTCGCTGCTCGAAAGCGCAGCCCGACTATGAATCCAACGTTCGCCATTGTCTTTACGGTCTGGATGCCGATCTGATCATGCTGGGTCTCCTCAGCCATGACCCTCACTTCTGTCTTCTTCGAGAGGAAGTGACCTTTGGTCGCCAAGTATCCAAGAAGCCCAAAGAATTGGAACACCAAAACTTTTACCTCCTGCATCTGAGCGTGGTGCGGGAGTATTTGGAACTAGAATTCCAAGAGCTAGAACAAGATGGTGTTCTGGATTTCCCATTCGATATGGAGCGTGTCATTGATGATTTCATTCTTATGGCCTTTTTCGTTGGCAACGATTTCTTGCCCAACCTGCCAAACTTACATATCAACGAGGGTGCCCTTGCCCTTATGTTCAAGCTCTACAAGGAGGTGCTGCCAAAAATGGGCGGCTACATCAACGAGCAGGGTGTTATTAACGTGCAACGGTTGGGCATGCTTGTGACTGCGCTTAGTGCCGTGGAATACCGATTCTTTGAGGCTGAAAACTCCGATGCCCAATGGATCAAATCGAAGAAAGACCCAAGCATTGATTATTCGACCTCGCAACAGAAGAAAGAGCTTACGCTCACTCCTGCTCAGAAGGAGATACTTAAGACGGTCAAGAAGTACGTTCTGAACCGGTCTGATAAGACCTGTGAACCCCTTGACCTCCCTCCTACACTTCCAGCTCGTGACCGCGCTTTCGTCGAACAGCTTGCGGATGAGCTCCGGTTGCCTTGGTCCTCCATCGACAACGAGAACGGTGATCGATTCATGAGACTCACATTGCCTCCAACCCAGTGTGACAGTGATGACGAAGAGGACGAAGAGGCATCGGTGGCTGTTCAGCGTATTATTCGGAAGTACGAGAAGGCCAAAGTTCAAGAGATGACTCCCGAGGAAGCACAGAAGTCCGCGCAGGAGAAATATGATGCCAAGTTTTTAGAGTGGAAAGATAATTATTATCGGACCAAGTTCGGCTGGGGCCTCGATAACAAAGAAGAGATGAAGAAGTTGGCGCAAAACTACGTGCAAGGATTGCAGTGGGTCTTGTTCTACTATTACCGTGGCATTGCTTCTTGGCCTTGGTTCTTCCAGTACCACTATGCCCCTATGATTTCTGGTTAGTAGTACCCAATCCCCCTTTTTTCTTGTTGGATTATTCTGATTGCTAACGGTTGAACAGATGTGAATGATGGTCTTGGTGCAGACATGGACTTCAAATTGGGACAGCCTTTCCGGCCGTTCGACCAGCTTATGGGTGTCTTGCCCGATCGCAGCAAGAAGATCGTGCCTACTGCGTATTGGGACCTGATGACCTCGGCTGATTCCCCCATCTACGATTTCTACCCCCGTGATTTTGATCTGGATATGAACGGAAAAAAGATGGAATGGGAAGCCGTTGTCAAGATTCCATTCATCGACGAAAAACGGCTTTTGGACGCCCTCAAAACGAAAGAAAACCTACTTTCCGCGGATGAAAAAGCAAGGAACGACTTTGGGGTTTGTCTCAAATTCACCTATTCCCCAGAAGTGAACTTCATTTACCCCTCCTCAATGCCTGGCGTATTCCCGGATCTTCCTAGCTGCCGTTGTATTGAGAACCTCTTTGACCTCCCCGTCATGGATGGATTGGTGCCCTACGCTGGCTTAATGGACGGCGTCCACTTAGGCAAGGCAGCGCTTGCTGGCTTCCCTAGCATCAAGACACTTCCGCACCATGGTCAATTAGGTTTCCATGGCGTTTGCGTGTTCAATCAAGATAGCCGCAACGAGAGCCAGGTTATTACACTCCTTGATCCGGGAAGCCGGTCGAGCATTGAACTGGCTAAGACGAAGCTTGGGAAGCGTATTCACGTGGGTTATCCATTCTTACAAGAAGCTCTTGTGGTCCGCGTTTCGGATGAATTATTTGATTATGTTCTACCTCCTGGAGAACAACACCCTTTATCTATTCCTCATACCCCTCAGCAAATTGAGCAGTGGAAGAGGAAGGCCAACAAGATTGAGGGCACCTACAGCAAGCGTCTAGCAATTATCATTGGCGATGTCGAATCTCTGGTCCACATTCAACTTCTGAAGGGCATGAGCAAGACAGACGATGGAGCCACAATCAAGGAATTCGCTGATATTCCCGGCCAAGAGACGGATTATGCTCTACAGGTTGTTGTTGATGATGTGATCAATCCTGATCAACGTTTTATTGAGCGTGAAGCTCTCTCTATCCAAGAAGAATTCCCAGAGGGTTCTCGTGCCTTCTTCTTGGGTGATTTCAACTATGGAAGACCTGTTTATGTTGGGGGACACGAAGACGGAAAGGTGAATGGATTGGTCGCGGCTGTGAAGGGTCGGGAGCCAGAATTCGGTCGAGAGCGTGTTAGGGCATCTGAGCAACTCTGCCCCTACATGCCGTCGTACGCTGTTGCGCGCAGTCTTCGCCTCAATCCTTTGGTCCTAGCCAAGATCACATCTTCCTTTACAGTTGATATCGAAGGCCAACGTGCGAACCTCGGTCTTAACCTGAAGTTCCAGGCAAAGCAACAGAAGGTTCTTGGATACTCCCGTCGAGGACAATCTGGCTGGGAATTTAGCCAAAAGGCAGTGGAACTGCTTCAACAGTACATGATTAAATTCCCCGAATTCATCGCTGGAATCCAGCGCAACCCTCAAAGCGACCGTTATTCTCCGACTGATTTCTATCCAGAGGAAATCGCCGCCCTTAAGATGAAAGAGATTAAGGATTGGCTCAAATCTATTGAAGCTAAGAACTTCGAGAGAGTGCCCCTCGATGCTGAGCAACTTGACTCGGATATTGTGATGTTGATTGAGCAGGATGCCGATAATCTCAATGCGTCCCAGCCAGATATGCAACCGAAGAAGGTTCGGGGTGTGCCCCGTAGTGCACTCCTTCGGCCTGCCGATGTCGAGCACCGCCTCGGAAACCAAACCTTCCAGCTTGGTGATCGGGTTGTGTATGCCCAAGATTCTGGTAAGGTGCCAATCGCTACTCGTGGCACTGTTGTCGGTTTAACCAGAACCCCACGAGCACTTCTGCTTGATGTTGTCTTTGATGTGTCGTTCATGAGCGGCACTACGCTAGGTGGTCGATGCTCACCATTCCGTGGTCAAACTGTTTTAGCATCTTCCCTCCTCAACATCTCCAACCGACAACTGATCACTAGTTCCCGTGCCACAGCTAGCCAGCAAACCCAGCAAACCCAGACTCCTTTGACAGTTGCCGGATACGGCGCACCCATCGGTCCTCACGGACAGGGACAACTGAGGAACGCAACTGCCCCTCCGCCCCTGAGAGGCTCTTTCCGAGGAGCTGTCGCCGGACAAGGCAATGGACAAGGCAATGGAGCTGGACGTGGAGGTCGCGGGGGTCTCAACAACGGCCAACAGACCACTCTTCCTTTCCGTCCCAATGGTGGCGGTATTCCCCGTGGCCCCCGTGCCGGTCGGGGAGGTGCGCGAGGCGGATATGTCGCAATGGACAACAGCGATCCCAGCGAGGGTATTATCCAAAACAACCCCAACTTCCGTCCGCAGAACTACTCTCGCGTTCCGCCGCCGCAAGGATTGGACCGAGGACGTGGCCGTGGCCGCGGTCGTGGTAATGGGTTCCGTGGCAGAGGAGGTCGTGGGCGAGGAGGTGCCCCCCAGCCCACTGCCTAGGGAATGATCGACGTGATATTCGAGAGAAGATATGATGAAACGATTGGATTCGAACCCTCTATGTATGTGGACGCTTTAGATATCTGCACCCCGTCTCGACATGTATGTCGTGGCAGTGCTTATATCTATTGCAGATGACTGTACGATGGAACTGAAATCAAACTCAATATTCTTATTTCCTAGTCTGAGATATTTAGATGTAAAGCAAGAACCGCAACATCTTGGTAGAATAAGTATGGCATCGGGCATCGACCTCTGGTAGCCCTGAAAAGTAACATCTCCCCTTCTACTCAAAGCCCAATAGGTCTTTTCCGGAACAGCATCTCCGTAGTCATACTCGGAAGAATATGCTCCCCAACCACAAGATTACTGGGTCTCTTCCCCTGCAGGTCTTCAACGAATTTGAATTCATAGTCAAGAATGAGGCGACTCAGGATTGCCTTCAAAGTATTCGATGCGAAGAACCGACCGGGACATGCCTGGAGCCCGAAGCCGAAATGCATGTTGGTGTTAGTGATCGAAACGAAATAGGCGGAAGATGCGGACTTTTCAGCCTGCATCTCACCAGCACCGTTCAGCATAGCGTCGAGTTTTCCGAGCTCAGGGGTCAGGACAAAGCGATCCCGAGGGTAATGGCACCAGCGAAAGCCGTCGAAGGTGATTGGGTCTTTGACGAAGGCAGCGTCTTTGCTAATCGGACCGGCAGCGAAACAGACGTGTGTCTCTACTGGAAGAACGAGGCCATCATGGAGCGTGATTGGTTCTTTGACGATGCGGTGGAAGTTCACTAGACAACGTAGGTGATTAGAGCATGATACTAACACACTAACCCTGACTGGTTATACGGCGCAGCCATAAGAAAAGATCCGATACTCACATTCACCAGGCGGAGCGAAGCGTTGAGATTCGCGCAAGAAGCTGTCCAGACGGGACTGCTCCTTAAGCGCAGCCTGAGTCGTCCGATACCAGCCATCAGGCAGAGTCCGTGTGATTTCTTCCCGCAGTGGCTCAATGTATTCAGGTCTGGTAACCAAATCGAAGATACAGTGGCACAAGGCCATCGTGCTGGTGTGAGTAACAGCCAGTGTGACCAAGAGCAGCATGTGATGCGCCAGGGTATCCGGTTTGAGGTCCTCCTTCTTTTCCTCGCTCAGATCCATCATCCACTGCAAGAAGTCATCCGGCTTGGTATAATTGGGGTCTTTAGCCTGTTGTGCCAGTCTGCGCTCGTGGATCATCGGAATGAAGAGGTCTTTCGCGAAGCGCAACTGCTTCCTCATCTTACGGACACTGGGGAGGAAGCGCGCTACGATGGGACGGAGGTATTTGGGGACAGGGCGGAGCAGGAGAATGGTGATTCCCACGTTCACGGCGTAGTTGCTTGCGACGTTGAGCCATTCTTCGTTTTCGCGGAGGGCGTCGCCGGCCATCATGCGGGATGTCGCGAGGGCGATTAGTCGGGTGAACATCTCGTTTGGGTTAATTTGAATCCAGGTATCTGTGTTCAGTACCTCTCTGTCAGTATCCGAGTGTTGATCTGCATGGTTGGTCGGTCCCACCTTCGCATCCTGGGAGAGCAGTTTCGAATGCTGTTCGCAGCTCGTCGATGATCCCGGGAACAACGCGACCTATTCGATATATTAGGTCTCTAGCACGAGGCTGAAAATAAGAGAACTAAATGATGTTGGTACCAAGACTGGGCGTCAACTTTTTCCGCACGGTCATAGAAGGTAGAAGGGTGTCGATGATGATGTTGGTGTACTGGCCCAACGCGTTCTGTGAATATTATATTAGCTTCAGCATCTCAACGTAATGTGGTACGAATAAGCTCATGGTACTTCATATTGGGCATGTAGAGAACTGAGTCTCGAAGGAGGAAGATGTCTCAGTTCATCCTGGTATTTCACGGGCAGGACGATGACTTCTCCATCGCCAGTGAGCAGGCGAAATGGACTATCCTTGTACTAGAAATTGCAGAAATGTCAATAGAGGTGAACGCGTGGTTTGCAGTATGCTGCGTACCTTTTCATATCCTTCACTGATCATCGAGGCAGCTTTGGGGTAGTACATGAGTCGATTGATGAAATCTGGTAGATAGGCATTGTACTTGACCGTTGGGATATGTCTCAAACTGGAAGGTGGTGGTCGTCGAAGGAGATAGAGCACTACAGCCAACACCCCAATGAGGGGCCAGAAGGGTAGGCCGGCCATATCGAGGTTGGCTGACGATGAGATCTTGCTCTTGACAGCAGAAAGAGGAAAGGTACTTAGATAAATGATTCTCCGGAGACTTGGATTGTCCGGAATATTGGAAGCGGAGAGATTAAGGAAGGTGTTCGGCGGTAAGAAGAGTAAGAAAGGTAAAGACAGGGTGGCACAGGACACATTCGGATAGTATTAGAAGGTAAGACTTTTTATTTTAAAACGGGACGGCGTTTGCTCAAGGCGAACAGATGGACAAAGGGTCCGTTTGAGGTCTCAGAGAGCAGAACTTGGAGGATATTATTCACACAAGGCCGCAAAGACCTCTGTCTATTTCCTTTTTTGGTCTTTGCAACCAATATACAAAACGCCTGGCTCAGATGCAAGTAGACATACACGAAGAAAACCCCATAGAAATCATTCAAAGCCAACCCAGTCACCTTCTCCCTCGTCAGCATCGACCATCTGATCATCAGGAACCTCAGCATCCTCGGTCTCCATGGCCAACAAAGCACTGCTAGTTTTCTTGTTCCCCAGAACAGGCTTAGAGAGCAGGTAGTTGAGATCGTAAAGGTTCTTTTCCGTCAACCGTTTTAGATTCTCGCGAATGTCATCGACAGCACGCTGGACGGCACGAAGCTCGGTTGCGAATGTGCCTGTGTTATCCTTGAAATAGCGACCATGGCTGCTGAACAAAGACTCAATCCACATGAGGTTGAACTCAAGATGAGGAGTTTCTTCGGCGGCATGTGCTACAAATCGGAGAAGGCGAGGTAAATAGACGGAGGGCACGGAGCGAACCACATGGGGAATATCTGACGGAGGGATCGCTTCATACACGACACGGAGTAGCTTTTGTTCATTCAATCGGAAGGCCATGATAAGAGCTTTGAGGAAGGTATTTTCCTCATCCACAGTATTGGATATGGCAGCTTCCTTGGCAGCATCTAGTGTGGCAAGGATGCTTGACGGTGTGATTGTGATGTCCAGATCATAGGGATCAAAGATGAAGTCAGTATCCAAACTGTAAACAAGGAGTCCTTCGGTAGAGGCGGCGCAGAATGCTCGTCCAGTCGGTGCGAAATCCACAGACGTCACGCGGACTTCTGGGCGTGTGGTGCGCGCACCAGCATCACCGCGTCTCGCGCCAGGAAGAGTGGTATCAACACGATCGTCGTGATCAGACGCTTCGCCAGTCTCGTCAATAAGCGCACGGGGACCAGCTTCGGTCATGTCACGACTGCTTAGGAACTCCTGGGTGCCATCGATAGAGGTGTTGACGGAAACGGTGAACTTCTTGATCAAGGACCCCGTTCCGACATCATACAAGCAGATGTACTTGCTGTTGCCACCGGCCAGAATGCAGCTACCGTCTGCGCTGTACGTGATTCGGTTGAAGGATTTAGTGCCTGCGGCATTGGCAGCAGTACGGCGGTCGGCCACTCGGCGTCCTCCAGAGACGTCATGGCGACCGTCAACTCCTCCTTGCTGTACAGCATCTTCAACAGACCAGAATGAAAGCTGACCGTCTAGGGTAGATGCGGCGACTTGTTGCCCATCTGGGCGGAAAGCCACACTGAGAATGTCTGACATGAGCTGCAGAGGTTCACTGGTCTGTGACCGCCCGAAGATGCTCCAAATGCGAACTGTATGGTCCCAACTTCCACTGACAAGGTGGTTACCATCGGCAGCAAAGGCAAGACTGGAAACCGGACCCTCGTGGCCGGAGAGCTGGTCAAGTAATTGACCGGTCTGCACGGACCATACGTGAATGTCGAAGGAGTCTGGTGAACCAGCACAGATCACCTCTCCACTAGGGTCCACGGCCAACGAGGAGAACGACAGTCGGGATGGTGCTGTGAAGGTTCGGAAGTTACGGTAGCGAATAAGATCCCATGCACGGATAGAGCCGTCCAAAGACGCTGTGAACAACACACTTCCCTTCTTCGCAAACTGACATGCGGTCACTCCACTGGTATGTTCTGTAAAGGTAACAATACAGAAGCCTGACTTGACATCCCAAACTTTGATTTTACCGTCATCGGCAGCCGTGACAATCCTCTGACCGTCCGGTGAATATGCGAGGGCGTTCATAGAATCAAGGTGCCCTTGTTGTTTGAGGATATATGACTCGGACTGCCATTCCCACACCAGCAATTGACCGTGCTTAGACGATCCGAATGCTAGCCATTCGCCTGATTTGTTAATTGTCACAACATCGATATTGCTCTGGGAGACACTAGAGGGGATATATTAGCCACTGTGAAAGGGAGGGTGTCACAGACTGATGTACCTCAATTGATGGATCATGTTGAACTCTGGAAGGTCATAGAGCCCGAATAAACCATTGGAGAACCCTACCACCAGAAGGTTGGTCGGCGCATGGAACGCAGCACAGTTGACCTTGGCGTCGTTCTGCATGAAGAAATCTTTTTTGACGATCCTCCATCGGGCATCGGAAATGTCTTCATTCGTTTCCTCGTCTTTTTTTGAAACATACTCCCAGCGGAAGAGTGCGCCATCTTGGCTGACAGTGTAGATCTATAAGAATCAGTATGTATTCCAGTCCAATTTCCAGTAAGCACCTACCACTTCTTGTGTCGCATTGAAATAGGCAGCCACTACACCCTGTCTGTGTCCCGCCAAAGTAGTCGGCTCGAAACCTTCCTCCGGATCCATGCTCCATACTCGCGCCGTCAAATCCTTGGCGGCAGTGAGCAAGAAGCGCGAATCGCTGGACCATTCGACACTTTCGATGTTGTCAAAGTGGGCAGCAAGATCCCGGTGTAGAACGAACGGGGCAAATTCAATCTCGCCATTGGTTTCGGTACCCGGGGTGGAGGGCGTCTGCCAGATCTGCAGGCGTCTGCCCACGCCAACGGCGAAATGTCGACCGGACGGGGAGAACTTGAGTGCGGACACTCGTCCTTTGAAGGAAAAGTGGTGAATGGCGATGCGCCGGTGGAAGTTGGTCAAAATTGCGCGACCATTTTCATCCACGGTCAACAGAAGATTACCCTTGGGCGTAAGATCGAGACGGTCGATGTTGGTACGGTGCGAAAAAGGCAAGGTATAGGAAGTATTTCTATAGAAGCAATTGTGAGCGGGCTGGTTTCAAATCACCGAATGAAGGACTGTCGGGCGACACATACTGTACCAGATCGAAGACCGAGACTCGATTGCCTACTGGCGAAAGCAAGCATGTGCCATCGGGAGTAAAGAGAAGATTTCCTTTGCGATATACCGTCCCCAAAAGGTTGGAGAACTAAAATTGAGGGTATTAGTATAAATCTTAATAATCCAGGCTTGCTGGCAATTGCATGCGATCAAGAATCCAAGCGTAGTACCTACCTTGAAGTCTGTCTTCATTTTGGCTGTCGGCGATCTCACAGATCAAAAAATTAGAGATAATTCAACCAGCTACCGTGATAAGGGCCCGCGGATCATCAATGACCCGGACCCGGACCCAATCGGTACTAGTCCGTCAAGCTAAACCCAGATAGGCAAGGTGAGGTATACTCCAGAAAACGAAAGGAGATTCAGGGGGAAGCAGCGACGGGCAGTTCGAGAGAGATCCGATTTCACATTCGTTCCTCCTTCTCCCTTTTTTTCTCCTCAGGAGTCGACTTATTTTCTCTTCTCAATTTGGGTCTTACTCTACACCAGGGCCTTCTTCTTCATCTTCCTTTGTGTTGATTCCGAATTGTTTTTAATCCCCCTATAACCCACCATGTCGACCTCAGAGACCGCCACGCCGATTGGCATTGCCAACGTAAGCTATTCAGAACGCCCGCGTCTCCCTTGTGATATGCTGAAGCTAACTTGCCCTCTTTGATATAGCTCCCCAACCAGCGGTGTGTACCTGAGAGTGATTACAGTGGATACGAGGAAAGGTTCTAATCAAGCTTGTATAGTCACAAGATTGTCGCGAAGCGGGGTGCAGCCTTCACTATTATGGTGTGTCCCACCGTCGGAGGGAAATGATCCGCCCGTGTTGATGCTAAGCTTCGATCAGGTTGCCGGAGAGTCAGGATTGGGAAAGACAACCTTCATCAACACCCTCTTCTCCACCACCATTAAGAACTATGCCGATCACAAGCGCCGCCACCAGAAGCAGGTCGACCGAACCGTGGAGATTGAGATTACCAAGGCTGAGCTTGAGGAGAAGTTCTTCAAAGGTGCGACCCAGATACTCGTGTTGGAGGGCTACGACTTCCGCGTTTCGATAGCTGACGAGGTGTCCTTTTCTAGTCCGCCTCACCGTCATTGATACCCCTGGATTCGGAGACTACGTGAACAACCGTGATTCATGGCAACCCATTATCGAGTTCCTGGATGACCAGCACGAGTCGTACATGCTCCAGGAGCAGCAGCCCCGCCGAACCGACAAGATTGACATGCGTGTTCACGCCTGCTTGTACTTCATCCGCCCCACTGGACACACCTTGAAGCCCCTCGATATCGAGGTGATGAAACGTCTGAGCTCCCGCGTCAACCTGATCCCTGTCGTTGCCAAGGCCGATACCCTGAGCCATGCGGATCTGGTGCGCTACAAGGATAGAGTGAGTGGAACGAGTGCACGAGGGGGAGAATCCGGACTAACCTTTGATTAGATCCGCGCTGTGATTGAGGCCCAGGGCATCAAGATTTACACCCCGCCCGTGGAGGAGGACGACGAGCACGCCGCTTCCCATGCCCGCAGCCTGATGGCTGCCATGCCTTTCGCCGTCATCGGTTCCGAGAAGGATGTCAAGGCCAACGATGGTCGTGTCGTCAAGGGTCGTCAGTACGCTTGGGGTGTTGCCGAGGTGGAGAATGAGGAGCACTGCGATTTCAAGAAGCTCCGCTCGATCTTGATCCGCACCCACATGCTCGACCTTATTCACACAACGGAAGAATCGCACTACGAGGCATACCGCGCCCAGCAGATGGAGACCCGCAAGTTTGGCGAGGCCCGGCCACGCAAGCTCGACAACCCCAAGTTCAAGGAGGAAGAGGAGACTCTGCGCAAGCGCTTCACCGAGCAGGTCAAGGTCGAGGAGCAGCGTTTCCGCCAGTGGGAGCAGAAGCTCATCTCAGAGCGCGACCGCCTCAACAAGGATCTGGAGGCTACTCATGCAGCGTATGTTCCGGAGCGTTGTTTGGTGGAATTCATTGCTGACTTATTCCAGTATCAAATCCCTGGAGCAGGAGATCGAGGGTTTGCAGGGTTCCGGCACCCGCAGCCACGGACGTCGTTAAGATGTTGCAATTTTACCGGGATTCCACCCGGATCGTTCAAAAGGGGAGTAGTCGAACCATGCTCTTGTTTTTTCTTCTCTTTTGAGTACCCTATGTCTTGCCGTTCGCGCTTGGAAGCACCTTTCTTTGGCTTGGTTCGTTTCGTTTGTTATATCCATTTACCGCTGGTAGCTAGCGATGGTGTGTCTACAACTTTGATAATAACTTCTTCTGTATTCCGTATGACAGAATTAATACTTGTGAGCTCGTTCGAAGTAAAGTAGTAGTTTTTTCCCCTCCGATAGGACTCTTTAAGTAGACTTGAAAGTTGAAGCTCTGAACTCCCGCATTCTTTGAACTCCAATTCCTTCTCTCCACCAACTCAACGGCCATGCCCCGGACAATATTCCCAACTAGGCATATCCACACTCTTAAAACACACAATGGTAAAGTCTTATTGTCTAGGGGTTATTACAACCAAATCACCTCCAAAGCACAAACACTGACATTCATCTAGGCCCCGTCAACGCGGTAACATTCTCAAACTCCGGCGGCACATATGTCCTCACAGGCTCCTCAGACCGAGCAGTACACCTTTCGCGCGCCGTTCCAAACAATACCAATAGCCCGACCGTAGTCGAGACGACGACTCCAATCCAAAAATACGAAGCACATGGCTACTCCGTCCTCGACATCGCCGTCACAGCCGACAACGCGCGCTTCGCCAGCGTAGGAGGCGATCGCCAAGTCTTCCTCTGGGATGTAGAGCAAGGCATCACGACGAAACGCTGGAGCGGCCACAACAGCCGAGTCGAAGCCGTGCAATTTGGCGGCGATGGGGACTCCGTCGTAGTAACCGGTAAGAGTCCCCTTATCCCCACACTCTTCCCTTCCCTTCCCACCTAGCATCCTAATCTAACGTCCTCCCTCCCTCCAGGTAGCGCAGACACAACAATCAACCTCTGGGATACCCGGTCCACAAGCTACAAACCCATCCAAACGCTCACGGAAGCCAGCGACACGGTCTCCACACTACACGTACACATGCCGAGCTACTCAATAGCAAGCGGCAGCTACGACGGACACGCACGGATCTACGACGTCCGCACGGGAAAGACAACCGTCGACGTCCTCGCGCACCCGGTGACAAGCGTGCGCTGCTCGAGCGACGGGAACGCGCTGCTGGCGTCGACGCTGGACGGGTATATCCGCTTGCTGGACCGCATGGATGGGAAGTTGCTCAATGCGTTTGGGGGCGAGAAGGCGGTGGTCGGTGGGATTGGGAAGCCGCGGTATTCGTATCGGAATGCGGAGCTGCGCGTGCGCTCGGTTTTCGCGATGGGGGATGCGGTCGTGCTGAGTGGGAGTGAGGAGGGGGTTGCGGGGGCGGCGGCGTTTGCTTGGGATGTTGTTAAGGGGGAGGTTATTGCTGCTGTGCCGGTTGGGGAGAAGGTTAAGGCTGTTAGTTGTGTGGCGTGGAATGAGGGTGTAGGGGATTGGGCTGCTGGATGTTCTGATGGTGAGGATAAGGATTGTGTTGTTTGGCGGGTTGGGATACTTGCTGACTGTTGGTTTAGGTACTGTCAGGGTCTACGGATGAACTTGTCTCAGACAGGTCTCGGAGTCATCCTCATGTTGACGTTAATATCACGAACCGCGTACGCGCCGCATTATGCCACTGCCGAAACGACGATAGGGTGGAATCCGATATGGACTAGCAGGTCTGTGTCGGCCTCACTACCCTCTACCATTTTCGTTCAATTTGAGGCTTCAATGGGCTTGGTGATGAGCACCTCTCAATTGCAATCCAGGCGATGCGGCTATTTTGAGCAAGGCCAGAGCGAAGATCGGTAGAAGTACATCTGCAGACCACCAGACATTTACTACGTTGGTCCAAGTCTTCGCCTGCAGCGAGGATAGTAGAGAGATGTTGGAGAAATTTGACCTGTATGTCTGTCCAGCGCTATTATATTAATAATGAGATATGAAATAATAAGATAATAATCTCAATTTCTGCTATTTCTGTTATTTGAGATCGTTTTATCTTAAGCTGTGCTGTTGGGTTGAACACATGATGGTGCTACTCTGGAGATATATATCGTCAGACATGACTACCATTTTACAACAATTTCATCTCAAACCGACGTAAGTAAACATCAGACCAATAAACTCAAGCAATCCATGACCAAGTAGAGCTATTCATACAAATATTAAAACAAGCGAACTTTTACTACCCATACACCACATCAACACATGAACACATAAGTCATATCCTCTGCCATCCACAAAGCGCAAGAAACCCGCCTCTCAACCCTGCTGCGGACTATCCGGCGGAGTCTCAGACTCCAAGCAAAGACCATCAAGCCTAGGCGACTGCATCTTCTCCTCCTCGAGCGCATCAATCGCCCTCCTAAGCTCATCCTCGCCAACAATAATGGTACCAGCGCGCGCGGTACTCAAGAAACTAATCTCGACCGCATCGGCGACATCCACATCAGGCTGGAGATGGTGCGTCGAGGATGGCAAGGGCTGGAGCGCATGGGATGATTTATCGAGCGAGACGTTCGCGAGCCGAGTACCGACCGAATCGAACGTCCTCGCGGAGCCGAGGCCGCCGACGGCGCTTGGATTCACGGTAGCTGCGTCTGCGAGACGACCCGCCACGCCGCAGACGATACCTGAGGCTTCGAGGGGCAGGTCGCGGAGGTCTAGGGTGATGGGGATGAGGTGGTCTTCCTTGGACCCGAGGAGGAGGCCGGAGCCGTCTTCGTAGTCGCGGAATCCAGTTTCGGAGGTGGAGTGGCGGGCGAAGCGGGGGAGGAGGCGCTTTTCGAGGAGGAGGGAGGCGGCGGGGTCGAGGGCTGCGAGGGTTAGGGAGAGGAAGCGGGGTTCGTCGACGAGGAGGACAGTGGTGAGGGCGTCGCGCAGGATGGACATGGAGGATTCTTGGCTGTGGTATTCGTGGTGGGCGGCGCACTGGACTAGGCGCAGGGAGTTGTCTACGGAGGGGGTGATTTGGTGTTTGCGGAGATTGTTGAAGGTGCGGGTTTGGAGCTCGCCTAGAGTTGAGGGTGGGGGTGTGCCCGGTGGGATGAGGTCGCTGAGTCTTCTTTCGATGGTAGGACTGAGCGGGTTGGTGATGAAGGCTGCGGAGGCGTCGTTGAATTGGAAGCCTCTTTTCTCTAAAGCGGACATCACGCTTGCTTTGCTTTGCTGGGGGACTACGATGTAGTCGGAGAAGTAGGTTGAGATGAAGAAGATGGATCTGGGGAGGTTAGTATGGGTGTTTTTTATATAGGGGATGGATATATTAGGCTTCACATACATGCCGGCCAGGGCAAGTGGACTGGTCAGTTCCAAGACTCGTTTTCCGGCCTCGAGGCCTTCGCCGAGCACTTGCATGGGGATATAGTCATTCTCGCTCACGATCAGACAGGACCGGAGCGACCCATCCAACTGGTCGAGTTGGTCCATGACGGGGACAAAGTATTTGTCGAGCAGGCGTCTTGGACACATGACGGAGACTTCCACTGGCGTGATGGACACGTTCATGAATGCAGGTGGTTTGTACGAGCCATCCTCAGAAGCATTTTCATAATCAAATGCATGGTCTGTCTCGTCTTCCAGTGGAGGGACTTCATCGAAAATGAGTCCTAGAACAGACTTTAAGAAGTAAGGATACAGCTCCAATGGGATGTGCACCAGCACCACACATTCCTCCTAGCATTAGGTTAGTAGATGTTGTATGCCGAATATGAATGACTCACTAGGAAGTGCACTTGTGCATCGATGAGGGTGATTGATTGATCCATATCACGAGGTCAGGGTATTGTGAAGCAAGAGATGTTTGAATAAAGAACCAGCTATTACGCCATTGAGGCTCGATGATGCTATCTGGGGTGAGCAAGCGCCATCCAGATATGTCGTCAGTGGCAGTCAAGATTGAGAATAAGATTTGGGACTGTAGATCGGCCGACGGTCTCTTTGACTCAGACTCTGAAGAAAAAAGAAGTGAAGATAGTGGCAACCCCTCCTCCTCTTCAACTTCTCCCCCTCCCACTTTTTCCCACGTTATCGCCAGCGCTTGACTAACACTAAATCTCTTCGTTTTACTCCACAGCTTATCAGACTGTTCTCAATTAGGGAGACGCTCTCGTGCCTGGGCGTTTTTTGTGGGCCTTGGCCTTCTACGCCGATGTTTCCCGGCTGTTCTCCTATCAGACAATACGATGTAGATCTTCTGGGATCATGTATGGGATGCAGGACTCCAGACAGGGATCTGATTTGTCTAGGGTAACATCTCCAGTCAATCTCCCGCTTTTCCGGGGATACACGATAGCAAATGCGCTGAAGCCATAGACCTTTTTTTTTCTTTGCCGCTCTAACAGAAGAGATTTCACTGCAACGTCACACAGCCCGATTGGGAACCTCCGCCTTATCGCGTCAGGAGTTCATACGCCTTTTGCTTGACGTCTACTTGGATGCTTTATATTCGATTTGCTTAAGTTGTGCTGAGGATAATGTTGGACTTAAGGTTATTTTCAACTTAAATCAACCAGCGAAAGTCTATATGTGAGGTATATTACAATTTAATAAGAAACCCCCAGTTATCTTTATTCTCGGGGTTTATATGACTCGCTAATGCTTATATCGTCGATTCGTCAAAGGTTGTACATAGAAAGGCCGTATCAAGCATATTCCGCCCTTTGCCGCAGTTTCCTTAGAGAAAGAGCTTACAGGTGAAGAAGGAGAAGATTTCTACAGAGAAAACATATAAGAGACTACTAAGAGACTACAACTAGATAGATAATCCGTTTGCGGCGACTATTCTTCTTCATCATGATACTCCACAATATTAAACCTGTCAAGTCACAAAGGTGTCAATCCATGCTGTGCAAGTTCTATACATTATTAGAACTTCCGGTTCGTGCCATGCTTACTCTAAACGAAGCCTTGAGTCGAGTACGAGTGCGACTCGAGTATGCCCCCCTTGCGTGGCGGTTAGAAACCGTCTTCCGGTTCGGTGAACTATCTACATTCCACCCTCCCAACCCCCCAAGGGCATTCTTCAACAGGAAAAAAATGGAAGCTCAGGGTCCAGCCTGATACTGCTCTACTACGTGTTTATTATCCCAGCCTTCAAGTCGTGAATGAAGGCACGGCCAATGACATGACACCCCCGCGAACGTCGAAATGAGATCTGATTTCAGCAGCATACTCAGGCCCCTGCAGATCGACAGGACCACTTTGTTATTCTATCGCCATGATTGAAGAGGCCCCATTTCCAGTCTCTTCCGGTCGACATCCAGCACAGCGGCCGACTTGCGCCCATTCGACAACCGCGTTCTTCGACATTCGTTTTTGCTTTCTTGATTCGGCCTCGACTGCACTCGTTTGGCGGGTTTTACGATCCTCCTGAATCAGGCCAATCGTCTTTCGCTCGTTCAATACTGCCATAATGGCCAAGTTTAGTTTGTTTGCGCTGGCCACCTGGGCTGGTCTAGCCGCCGCCAAGGACGTTTACCTGAAATGGGACATTACTTGGGTGAATGCTGCCCCGGATGGGTTTGAGCGCCCGGTCATTGGTATCAATGGCCAATGGCCCTGCCCGCAGATCGATGTGAACTTGGGTGACCAACTGATCGTCGATGTCTACAACCGTCTCGGAAACGAGTCCACGGCTATCCACTGGCACGGCATGCGCCAGCATGGCAGTGGAGTTATGGATGGCGCCGTTGGAGTCACTCAGTGCCCAATTGCCCCCGGCGCACACATGCAATATCACTTTGATGTGGGTAATCCCGGTGGAAAAGATGAACATATGCTAACTGCAGGACAGGTCAACCAAACTGGAACATACTGGTACCACTCACACAACGCGGGCCAGTACCCCGATGGATTCCGTGGTGCTCTGATTGTCCACGACCCTAGCCCTCCTTTCCACTATGACGATGAATTCACACTCACTCTGAGCGACTGGTACCACAAGGAGATGCCGGAGCTGCTCGGTACGATCACTGCGGCCTCCCATGGCCAAGAGCCCCTCCCTGACGCGGCATTGATCAACGACTCAACCAACACCAAGATCAAGGTTCTGCCCAACAAGACGTATCTGGTTCACATCATCTGCGTTGGAAACTGGCCCGGCCACTTCTGGGTGTTCGATGGCCATGAGATGACTGTCGTGGAGGTCGACGGCGTCTATACCGAGCCCTACCCGGCTGGAGACAAGTTCCTGCGCGTTGCGACTGGTCAGCGAATGAGTGTCTTGATTAAAACCAAACCTGATGCCAGTCAGAACTTTGCTATTTGGGATACCATGGATGTCAACATGATGTTCATCTTCGAAAATCGTACCATCCCGGAGAACTACAACCCCAATGCTACCGCCTGGTTGGTGTACGACGATGCCAAGCCCCTACCTCCGCCTCCTGTCTTCAATAACATTGACGCCGCAACGGACTTTGTGGATGATGTCCTATTGGTACCTGCCGACCATGAGCCCATCCTGCAGCCCGTGGACCACCAGATCATTTTGGATACCGCCGCCGGTCTGGTAGACGGTGTTCCGCGCTTCACTGTCAACGGCAAGACGTACATCGCCCCGAAGGTGCCATCGCTCTACACTGCCAACACCGTCGGTCCCGAGTTTTCCTCCAATCCCGATGTATACGGCCAAGTAAACCCCTTCGTCGTGAAGTACAACGAGGTCGTCGAAATCATCATCAACAACCACCACAACAACCTGCACCCATGGCACTTGCACGGTCACCAATTCCAGGTTCTGCAGCGTACCCCAGTTGATGGCGGCTTCTACACGGGTCTATCGAGCAACGTCTCCAACACCCCGATCAGACGCGACACCATCATGGTCCAGAACAACGGCCACACCGTCATCCGCTTCCGCGCCGATAACCCAGGTGTCTGGATGCTCCACTGCCACGTCGAGTGGCACGTCGAGACTGGTCTCATGGCCACTATCATCGAGGCCCCCGAGACCTTCCAGCACAGCTTGCACGCTCCCCCGCAGAGCCATTACGACACCTGCGCTGCCTACCCTCAAGGCGTCAGCGGAAATGCTGCTGGTAAAAATGGTCTTGATCTGACTGGGCTTGACACCACACCTCCCACCACCAATCACGGCGCTCTGTATACTGCCACCAAGGGCACAAATGCTCCCGCTGAGGCGAATCAACCTCAGGGATCGTCCCAAGCATCGGTGCCGAAGCCATCTCCCAGTGCCAACACAGATGGTTACTGGAAAGTCCCTCACACTGATGTCTACGTCGAGCACCCCGACAAACCGCACGACCACCACATCACTATCCACGAGGAGTCGACCAAGGGCCCGTGGCCAAACCAGAATACCTATAGCGGCTATGTTATTAATAACGGTCACAGCTCTCCCATCAAAGACTCTAAGTGAGTACACTCTAAAGGCCGAAATGTGCTCATCAACTAACTCTTTTCAGTGATGATGATATCCTGGCTGAGATCAAGGATTGGGAGTGATGCCAGCACCTGTGATATGATATTGCGTCTTTTTAGAGGTTATTAATGCTTGTATATCAGATTTTCTTTTCTACTAATTAATCTAATGCCAGCCATTTGGTCGGTATACGAATGACCTTCACATGCCTCTCCAACTTCCTACTTTCTACCATGGATATCCAAAACTAAAATATGAAAGTGGCATAGTACTTTCCATCCCGATAATACCCGCAAGTCTAGACATGGGAATAACAGCTCCGTTTCCTAATCTAGCAATACTAGGGAATTAGCACATCCTGACGACTTCACACAGCCTATAGTCAGAGTCCCCCACGAAATAAATCCTCTCTCCTACCAACCATCATCTATATAAAAACTCATTCAAACCAAACCGTCAAAATGTCAAACCATCTATTCTGCTGCAGCGCCATCCAACCAAAAAAGCTCCCAAACCCAGAGCACGAACAAACCTTCACAGAATTCACAAAATGGGCCCTGAGCACACCCGAAACTTCAATAGGATCCATCGATCCCTCCGAATCAAGCGTCTGCATGCAGCTCATACAACGTGCCAAAAGAGGACCGATAGAGTCCATCCAGTACTTCGTCCCAAGCGATACAGACGGGAATTTCGAAGAAGTATCCACATACGACATTGCAGATGCGAATTTCGAAAAGATTCACGAGTGAGTTGACTAATCCTTGAACCATTAGCGTCCCCTTTATCATATCATATCCTTATATTAATTATGAAACAGACGCAAGATCCTCCGATGCCACGAGCATCGTCGAGTCTATGATCTTAATATATACGAACCGAGCACGGGGAGCTCGCGTCGTTGGAGAGATAGTGTAGCGAAACCGCTCAAGCACCTTGAGAATGCAGCCAAGCAGAAAATGCCTGGATCTGCATCTGGATCTGGAACGAGGCCGGGGTCGGCATCAAGACCAAAGCCTGTGCTGGAATCTGGGTTCGAACAACAAGCTAGCTCGGATCATGGATACGACTCTGAGTGGGGATTTGAGTTAGGATATGGTTGTGGACATAGTTGGGGATCTGAGGGTTCCGACAAGCATGTGCCGTCTTCAATTATTGTTGAGACTGGGTCTATGGATTCTGATTGTGATTGTGATGGAGAAGACCAAGACCAAGATCCTGGGGTGGCTCCTGATGATGGGACTGAAGATATCAACCAAAACAGCGACAAAGACCAGCCTGTGTCATCTTCGCTTCGACTTGAGACTCGAAATACTTCCCATGATGAAGACAGTGGGAGTCAGAGCTACTTGCATATTGAGGACCATGGTTGTTATTATTCTGGGCTGTCTTCTTATGACTATGGCAACTATGACTGCGATGAAGGGTACGATTACTTGTTGTTTGACTAAGATTGTGGAGATTGTGGAGGTTGTGATTATTGAATGTCTGGTCTCAGTTGATGTTTTTGCTATATGGGAATCTGTGTTATCTGTTGGAGACAGAGAAGGATAAACTTGTCATGGAATGAATATTCAAAATATGGTCACACAGAGTATCGTTCCTGTAGAAAATGAAAATAATAGGCCTCGTAGCCCCATAGGCATAGAAGACAATAGACAAACCCTTGTATCAACATCCCTAGAGGCTTAGCCTTTTTATCTTGCCTTTTGTATTTGGTTTAGGACAAAGTGAATATTAATCTACAGAAAGAATAAAATGAAATAGCAAAAATTGATTCTTCTTCTAACTAATTTCCAATGACATAAAAACGTTGGTTCGTACAGACAGAACCACTTTGGACGATGATATGAGACATAAAAAACCTCTGATTTGTGGATGTCAACCCGTGTTTGTTGGTGAAAGTGACTTAGTCAGTGGATACTACTTGATCCGGAAGCTTTCACGAGTTACTGGCTTGTATGGGTTGGTCTGTAGTGGATATTGGTTTGACCGAGAAGTTGAAGTTCCTCAAGGCAGGCCTTCTTTGCAGGTTGGCCGTGGGACTTGATGCTGACAAAAAAGAGAGAAGAGTTGATTGGAAAGCCGTGGAAACCTTTGTGTCTCTGTAATATGACGAAATGATGGTCACGGTTCTTGTAGGAGAGGCCCATGGTGGATGGTGGCCGTAGTGGATGGTGGCCGTAGTGGATGGTGGCCGTAGTGGATGGTGGCTGTAGTGAATGGTGGCCGTAGTGGATGATGGTCATAGTGGATAGCCAAAGTGGAATGTCTCATGGTGGGTGGTCACAGCTGTCATAGTAGATCGAAAGTCTCGAGATCAATTGGTTGTCAAAGTGGATGATTGTCAAAGTGGATGATTGTCAAAGTGGATGATTGTCAAAGTGGATGATTGTCAGATGATAGTCAAAGGTCAAGGTTATTGTCAAAGTGGATGGTTGTCAAAGTGGATGGTAGTCAAAGGTCAAGATTGTTGTCGAGACGATAGTCAAAAGTGGATGGTTGTCAGATGGTAGTCAAAGGTCAAGGTTATTGTCAAAGTGGATGGTTGTCAAAGTGGATGGTTGTCAAAGTGGATGGTTGTCAAAGTGGATGGTTGTCAAAGTGGATGGTTGTCAAAGTTGTTGTCAAAGTGGTCAAAATGGTAGTCAAAGGTCAAGGTTATTGTCAAAGTGGATGGTTGTCAGGGTTGTTGTCAAAGTGGTCAAGATGGTAGTCAAAGTGGATGGTTGTCAAAGTTGTTGTCAAAGTGGTTAAGATGGTAGTCAAAGGTCAAGATGGTTGTCGAAGTGGTTGAGATGGTATGAATGTTGATGCTTGCTTGTCGAGGTGACCCATTTTTTTTCTACCACCACAGCAAACGGTCTTGAGAGTCTCCTTTAAATGGGTACACGCTGTAACCTCTTCCCGACGAGAAGCCTCCTTCAGAGACACTCCTGCGGAGACTCAGTCGATCAAGACCGTTTCTTTTCATTCCTCCTCTTTCGGGTCGAAGCATTGTGTCAAGGTCGAAGCATCGTGGGCGGTCGAATGTGAATGGTTGATTGAATGTTATTGAAGTGGACGCTTGATGTGGTATGGTTTCTTGAATGTAGATAGTTGAGTGAAAATTGATTGGAGTGGTTCTTGGACATGGAAGGTTGAAGCGGAGCTTGGATGTCGATGCTTGAATGTCGATGCTTGCTTATCGAGGCGACCCTTTTTTTTACCACCACAGCAAACGGTCTTGAGAGTCCCCTTTAATTGGGTACACGCTGTAACCTCTTCCCGACGAGAAGCCTCCTTCAGAGACACTCCTGCGGAGACTCAGTCGATCAAGACCGTTTCTTTTCATTCCTCCTCTTTCAGGTCGAAGCATTGTGGATGGTCGAATGTGGATGGTTGGATCAATATTGTTGTCTTGGTGGTGGTGATGGTGGATACGGTGGGCACGGTGGAGGGTCATCCTAGTCGAAGCTCATGATGAATGGTGGACATAATGGATGGTCAAGGTCATGATGGATGTTGATGACTGTGGATGTTGAGACCATGAAGGACAGTGACCATGAAGGACGGTAACCATGAAGGACGATGCAAGGTCATGATGGATGTTGATGACTGTGGACGATGATCATGATAGATAATGCAAGGTCATGATGGATGTTGATGACTGTGAATGTTGAGACCATGAAGGACAGTGACCATGAAGGACGGTAACCATGAAGGACGATGCAAGGTCATGATGGATGTTGATGACTGGATGTTGAGGCCATCAAGATCAACGGGAGACAGAACCCATGTCACGCGACCCGCGATTTGCAATGTGGACCCGGAGTGTTGAAGAAGAAAGAAAGAAGAAGAGAGAAAATGGGGGGGGGGAGGGGGTATTTATACCTCCCCAATGGCTTAAGGTAAATGAGGGAATTGGGTTGGTGACGATTTTTGACCAAATGGGAAGGCACCTGATCAGGAAGGCACCCCCAAGGTGGGCTCTTGCCTGTTTTACCTCTACACGTGCGAGGACACATCTGAATTATATTGCTGATTTTGACTCCCGAAGTCTACACAGTGACTAGAGATTGATATACAGAAGGTTAAGTGTACCCTGGATCCTTCTCCCCTAAACCAAACTTGTGTATTGGGTCTTCTAAAAGTATACAGCAAGGAATGAAACATTATGATCAACTCAACAGATCAACGGTACCTAAACTGCCAGTATCGATCTGCACATCTCTCCAGCTCGTCGGGTCCACTCTCATCTCCTCCACCCAAAACAATGGCTTCCCATGCATTCTGTTGCGATAATGTCAGACCTAGGGATTTCGAAGATGGAGATTACCGACTCGGAATCTTCATCTACTGGGCAAAATCAGGAAAGAGACCGCAAACCAAAGACGACAACCTAGGACTCAATGTCCCGTTTTGCGTCCAAGTAACTCAAAGGTATCCTAGATTAACCCGGCTCTTTGTACCGACCAGCTGGGGTGAGTTTGCTGAGAACGATCGGGAATTTCTCGGGGCACCATGGGTATTACGTGAGTATGTCCCTGAAGAATGTGCTACGAGTTCAAGCCTGATTATCCTCAAAGACCGTCATATTACCAATGTAGGGCTCATTGCGCGGACTTTCGGATTAAATTATCTGAAAGAAGTGTCGAATCGCCAACCCAATCTCCACAAGCATGCGTGAGCTCCAATACCAGGTTTCCCGATCAGTATGGCCGTGGTGACGCTTCCTCGTCGACAGTAATGAATGAACCGACCAACGTCGCGGGAGAACCAAACACAAAGCCATCTGCAGAAACAGACCACACACAAAGCCCATTTAGTACGGATGCTAAGTATGGAATGGAGAATATCGCTTCATTGGCGAATATGCCTGCTGGCCAATTTGTCCTTGACTTGATTGACCGGGCGAGAAATACGATGCCACTCAACAAGGTCTCCCTTGCCACTGAAGCCGATATTCTCAAAACGCATTTGCTCCATGATCTACGCAAGTTGACAGAATCTGTCGATCAGAATATATCTATTTGGATGCTATTGACCACATCATATCCAATTGCTAAGCTCTTGATGAGCTTCGGCCCTTCCAACGTCTATACCGAAAATGACAGAGCGAAGATACTCAAAGCCACTGCAATCGCGGTTAATGCGGTGCAAGTCCTCGCCTTTAATCAGCGTGGACCTCAAGATTACAACCCTCCTGACGGTATCGAAGTTTTCGAAGAGATTCGTCGGCAACATCCGAATGATGAAGATTTGACTTCACTGGTGAATTGTGCCCTCAAAGAAGTGCGGGGGTATATTGAAACAGAAGAGAAGGCTAGACTGGCAGAGAAGAAGGTGTATCTATCAGTGAGCGATGATGGCTATGATCACTGTGATTTGTCTATTTCGGACTGAGATTTGGAGAGATGATGTTGTCGTACCTTGTGGCTAAATATAGCATATTGCAGTGGGGAAACCCAGAATCCTCAAATAGAGGCCTTGTTTTTCAGGCATAGAGAAGTCTCGCGATTTCTCTAGTTACCATAAGTTCAACAATTTCACAGAAAATGGAAACCAAGTAAAATAAATTCTTATACTATATAGAGTTGTACCAGTTTCCCTTCGCAAAAGCCCATTGACATCTAGTCAAGGCCCTTGAAAACCTCGTCAAAGCGTAACTCATCAAAGCGCACATTCGGCTTCAACCCGGCAAATTTCCAGATACCATCGATCTTGAGATAGTAGTGCTCATTCGTAGCATGAGAGTGACCACGAAGCTTGACAGTCTCCAACTCTTCGGTTTCGTAGACCTGGTGCGCCGCGCGAAGCTGGTGGTGACCAATAACCTCGGTGTCGGAGATCTTCTCCCACCATGTCTGACCAAGCAGATGCTGGGTCTTGATGGTTTTGTCACCGAGGAAGCCGGGATGGGTGATCATGGCCATGTATTCGTCAGCGGACATGTTGTCCCATCTTCTCAGACCGATCTTGGTGTAGTCCACCGTCAGAGTTGGAGCAATGATGCTGCGCAGGCGGTCCCAGTCCTGGGATAGTGTCAGGATTAATGTTGAATTCACTTTTAATGCGATTGGAAGTGTACCTTGGCATCGTAGCTGTCCGCCCAGTCGAAGACGAGCTTTGAGAGGATGAGGTAGTCTGTTGCTGTTAGCACAAGCAGGTGAATGAGGGTGGATTGAAACATACCCTGGAAGCTGATGTCCAAGTTGGGCTCAGCGGTGATGTTCTTTACGGCAGGAGACATGGTTGTTCGGCAATCTTTGATTTCTGCAGATAGTTCGAGATGTGGTTATAGCTGCGAGGCGCGCCGTGTGATTATTCACTTGCCACAAATTCCCCTGATGCCAACATTCCCCGGATCTGGCCAGCATATTTCCCATGAACGGAAACACAACAATGCAACCGAGGGATTCTAATGTGACAGATGGTGGAGACAGCCCCTCGTGGACTTCCGCATGCGGTACAAGGTCCTTGTTCGCAAACAGCTACTCTGTTTTAGGACCTGATGTTGGCTGTGGGCCCTAATGACTGGCACTGTAATAGGTCACCGACAAATTCGGAAACAAAGCCCAGCTCTGCAATAGGTATGAATGATGGAACCAAGCCATCCAGCTGACTCCAGCCAAGATCCTGGTGTTACTAACAGGTTCAATATTAGATTAGGGTTCCCTCTCTCAACACGATTCCACACCCAGTCATCTACAATCCTCCACACCCTCCAACATCAAAATAACCGCCAAAATGGTCGTTGCAAACCCCAACGCTGCCCAGCCCGAGCTCGCCGGCAAAGTCGCCTTAGTGACCGGCGGTGGTCGAGGCATCGGAGCCGGCATCGCGCTAGAGCTAGCCAAGAAGGGAGCAAGCGTAGCGATCAACTACGCCAGCAGCTCAAAGACCGCCGACGCAGTGGTACAAGATATCCAAGCGCAAGGTGTCCACGGCGCCGCATTCCAAGCCGACCTGACAAACGTCGACTCTATCGCCAACCTCTTCCGCCAGGTAGTGTCCCACTTCGGACAGCTGGACATTGTTGTGTCGAACGCCGGAACGGAGAAGTTCGTGCCGTTGTCCGAGACTACACTGGAGGACTTCAACGCAGTGTTCGACCTCAACACTCGGGCGCAGTTCTTCGTCGCGAAGAATGCCTACGACTATATCCAGCCCGGCGGGCGTGTCGTGCTGATGTCGTCTATTGCCGCGGGCCTGGGTGTGCCCGGCCACTCGCTGTATGCGGGCAGCAAGAGCGCTGTGGAGGGCTTTACTCGCTGCTTTGCTGCTGACTTTGGCAAGAAGAGGGCTACTGTTAACGCGATTGCTCCTGCTGGTGTCAAGAGTGATATGTGGTTGACCAACGCGTGGCGCTATGCGCCTGGCTGTGACCAGAACTCGTCTATCGAGGATATTGAGACGGCGCTTGCTAATGGTAGTCCCCTTGGACGCTGTGGTGTGCCTGCGGATATTGGCCGCATTGTGGCATTCTTGGCCAGTCCTGCTGGAGAATGGATCAACGGTTAGTACTGGAATGTTAAATTCACCCCTGGGAATCTTGCTAATTATTTGCAGGTCAAATTTTGCCTTGTAACGGTGGAGCCAACATCTAATCGATGTCTCGTGGGGTTGCCATATTGAATTGGAGATGTCGGATATATGTTTTGTATTTGAGGCCATGTATAGGATCAGGGCCAATTACCATCTGAATCATACGTTGCTCTTGTTTAGATATATGTTTCTATGTTGTTTTCCATAGAATCAGAATGAAACTATTCTACCATTTGAGTACAAAAGTTCATTTCACTTTACCTAAGGCTAGATAATGATGAAGCCGACAGAAATGCCATGAAAAGCCGCGAAGAGAAATTGACAGCGGGATTTTGAGTAATGAGACATCTGAGAGTACGATCTGATCTACATTCCTTACCCTCGTCATCTTGGCTGTCACCTCCCCGCATCCGGAAGTCTTCGAAGCAACCTCATCAGATCTCTGCCGATCCGGTCTCATCTACGGCTTGCGGCAAATACACCTACTGTTTGCATCTCGATAGACATCATTCTGCCTTGGCTTGCTTGGTAATGACTGCTACCGGCGAATACAGTTGGTGGCAAGTCAATGAAAAAAGCTCAAGATGCCTCAAATTTGCAGTTCATCAACGAAAAGCCATAAGCAGTACGAAACCCATCAATCTACCTCGTCTATATCCCGCTCAAAATGGTGAATTGGATCCTCGGAGACAAGTTCGACACTGTCTACCCTCATCAGGGATCGATCAAGGTCCTATGGGAGTCAAAGTGGAAATTCTGCGTATGTCTCTTCCCAACAATCAGAAAACACACAGGGAACTAACACGGATAATTGACCAGGCCACTAAATCCATCTACCCATTCCACGATGGATCCGTGGAAGACTTCGAGCCTATTTTCCAAAAGCTGATCGCTGTGAGCATCGTCAAACATTTGAATACAACCCAAACCCACGACTAACAACAACAGGATAACATCAACGACGCAAACACAGACGCCTATACCGAAGCCTTCCTCCCAACAGCAACAGCCCTCGAGAATGAAGCCGACACAGCCCTCAACAACGGCCATCTCGACCGCGCCGCAGACCTGTACCGCCGCGCAGCAGTCATCCTCCGCATCTCGCGCTTCCCCTACGTAAGCCCATCAACACGCCCCGAGACATCTGTCAAGCGCGCCGCCTTCGACCGTCAGAAGCAGGTGTACCTGAAAGCCGCCTCACTATGGAAACCCATCATCACGGAGGAAGTGATTTCACACACGCACCGCGCGGGCCGCGACGGCGCCTCGATCCCGCTGTACATCCGGGTGCCGGAGGAAGCGAGCCCCACCAATCGCGTCCCCGTCGTGCTGCTCATGACCGGGCTTGACGGGTATAGGCCTGACAACAGCCAGCGCTCCCACGAGATCATCAACCGTGGCTGGGCGACGGTTATCGTTGAGATTCCCGGGACGGCGGACTCGCCTGCAGATCCCGCTGACCCTGAGTCGCCCGATAGGCTCTGGTCCAGCGTGCTGGATTACATGGATCGGCGGCCGGAGTTTGACATGTCGCGTGTCGCGGCGTGGGGGCTTAGTGCGGGTGGCTTCTATGCTATCCGCGCGGCTTGTACACACCGTGCGCGTCTTGCCGGGGCTGTTGCTCATGGACCTGGATCGCACTTTGTTTTTAGCCCTGAGTGGTTGGCTAAGGCAAATGATCATGAGTATCCGTTTGTGTGAGTTCTGACTGGGTTTTGGTTTTATGTGGTGGAATACTAATCATGATGTAGGCTTACTTCCGCTATGGCGGAGAAGTATGGCTATGACAACGAGGAGGAGTTTGTGAAGAACGCTCAGAAGAAGTTCTCGCTTGTGGAGACTGGTATTCTTGACCAGGATAATTGCCGGTTGCTTATGCTCAACGTATGTATTCCTGTTCAGCCGTCTCGAGAAAGAAAACAAAGCTGATATGTTTCTAGGGCGTGGATGACGGCGTTGTCCCGATTGAAGACTGCATGGAGCCTCTCAAGCATGGCGGTCCTAAGGAAGCTAGGTTGTTCGAGAACCGAGTGCACATGGGATACCCTGATAGTCTGCCTGTGGCTTACAAGTGGTTGGAGAGTGTGCTATCTCCTAATAAGAAGGAGGTGAAGAACTGAGTGGGTGCTGTGTCAATATAGTACGCTGCCTCCGGGCTGCTTTAGACCAGCATAATGTTAATATTACTTGCGTGAATTCAATTCCACCTGGGGTACATGAGGTACATGGCCTTGAGGGTACAAAGCTTTAAAGAGTCGCAGCCATCTTGTGCCTGGTCCGTTATCAATGCGACGAAACAGAGGCAAGAATCATACACGTATCTGTATTGTGTACACCTAGAAGACATAGTGCTATCTACTGAGGAGCCTGGGGCAGCCAGGCAAACACAATGGCCACAAAGTTTGGGAAGACACGTGGGTTTGGGGTATAAAAGGGCTCCTCCCACCTTTCTCCTCTTCTCTTCTTCTCTCCTTTCCCCATCCCTCTCGACCGCCATCTCTCCGTAGCCCCATGAGACAGCGCAGGCGGAGGACAGGGTACTTTACCTACAAGGATATCAACATTACCAAGTTGTTGAGGTCTATGCAGGTTATACCAGATCAAAGTCCAGTTCTCGTGCGAGCTCTCTGAGAAAGTCATGGCTGAGTATACGGACTCCATAGCCATTGACGGTCCCACGGAATACAACCCTCAGTCTCCTTTGCCTATGTGGATGTAGCTAGTTATCCAACCACATTCCCTCGACCCACATCTTTCATCGTACCTGTGCGAAAGCTGTCTCAATCTACACATTCACTAGCAATACAACATACTACTGGTAATTCCAAGATGTAGACCAACATATTTTTATTGTAGCT